CTGTCTCAGGGACCGATTGAGACTGCTGTTTTCTTCTCTGATCAAAACAATGTTGTCTTCTACTCTGATCAAAACGGTCTGCCCCGAGCGGATAATCCATGAATTGCATTTTATTAAAAATATTCATTCTGTGTCTTTAATGCATTTTTTCACTTTTAAATTTTCCTGCGGGCCAGATTGAACCTCCTTGGGGGCCGGTTCCGGCCCGCGGGCCGTATGTTTGACACCCTGGTTTAGCGGTTCCTCCCCACATTCCAAAAACATGGTAGTTCGTTTAGTTGAATATTGAATTGTCTGATTCTGAGTGTCTGCATCACTCATCGAGAACTTCACCTCCTCGCTGTGACTTCCAGTGCGCAACCCTGAAGGGAGGCTGACTCTTTACTGCAAAGGGGCAGACACCGTCATCTACGAGAGGCTGCACACCTGCTGTACCGCACTCAAGTGTGTCACCACCGGACACCTCAATGTAAGTTTTTATTTTCTCCGAAATGGACAGTCAATTGTTGTAATAGCTTTTTTCAACCCCAACTGTAGGAATACGCAGGTGATGGTCTCCGCACTTTGGTTCTGGCTTACAAGGACTTGGACGAGAGCTATGTGAAGGAGTGGATGCGGCGCCACCATGAGGCCAGCACCACCATCGGAGAACGAGACGAGAAACTTCATGAGCTGTATGAAGAGATTGAGAAAGACTTGTTGGTCGGTTCACCGGTTGACGACTTTGCTTAAAACCTTGACTTCTGTCTGACATATGATGACAGAGGCAGCTGAGGTCGAATCGGTTCTTTTCCATGGCATCTTCCTTTCAAGACAATCTTCTTTAGTTAGTAATAGTAAACTTCTGTCTCACAGACATATTCTTACTTGTTTAACACCATTTGATTTAGCTTCTGGGAGCAACGGCAGTGGAAGACAAGTTGCAGGATGGTGTGCCTCAGACAATAGAGCAGCTGGCCAAAGCTGACATCAAAATCTGGGTGTTGACCGGAGATAAACAAGGTAGTTTTCTGCCACATACAACAATTTTTTTTTTGTGTGTTTGATTTCATAAATTCATGTTCGCAAATTCTCCTTTCTGCCAGAGACGGCAGAAAATATTGGCTATTCTTGCAACATGCTGCGAGAGGAAATGAAGGACGTTTTCACCGTGTCCGCAAATACAGCAGAAGGAGTCAAAGAGGAGCTTCAGTATGTAAAATCTCAAGTTGCTGCATATTATATTGAGCATGACATATTTAGTCAAGCACTGTCATCATGAACTAAAAGCGCTCCACAAAAGAGCAATATCTCCATCTCTGCATTGTTCTGTTTTTAGAAGTGCAAGAAAGAAAATGTGTCCGACGGCAGCAAAAGAACCAAAAGTGACCAAAGCTCGCTCAGGCCTCTTGTGGTTGCAAAGAACCGAAACTGTTCAAGATGACAAAGTGGATGGGGAATATGCACTTGTTATAAATGGACACAGTCTGGTAAGTGGGCATTCACCCTCCTTATATTTGTGAAATCCCAAAAACATTTTACAAAGAAGGAAGATTTGACTTCCTTTGCCTCATCTTCCTCTTGCTCCTCAGGCCTTTGCCTTAGAGAAAGGCTTGGAATTGGAACTATTAAGGACGGCATGCATGTGCCAAACCGTGATCTGCTGCAGGGTCACCCCACTACAGAAAGCCCAGGTTGTTGAACTGGTGAAAAAATACAAACAGGCGGTCACTTTGGCTATTGGGGATGGGGCCAACGACGTCAGCATGATCAAGGGTCAGTAAACTCACTGACAGCCGCGCTAAGAAAAGCTCAGCATCCTTTTGGCCTTATTGCTCTTTGTCTTCCAGCTGCACATATTGGTGTCGGCATCAGTGGTCAGGAGGGCATGCAGGCCGTTCTGTCCAGTGACTTCTCCTTTGCCCAGTTCCGCTATTTGCAGCGTCTGCTGCTGGTGCACGGGCGCTGGTCGTATCTGCGCATGTGCAAGTTTCTACAGTATTTCTTTTACAAGAACTTCACCTTCACCTTCGTGCATGTCTGGTATGGCTTCTTTTGCGGCTTTTCGGCACAGGTGAGGAACATGAAAGAATAATGAAGGAAAAATAAACTCAAGGTTTCATGCCTACACCTCATATGCTATTTGGCAGTATTCTAATAACCATGTTTGTGACATATACTGATAAACGCAGTCAATAAATTAAATACATGATCCTTTTCATTTTGTCTCTTCTAATTCATAGACTGTGTATGACCAGTGGTTTGTCAGCATGTACAATGTAGTGTACACGGTCCTCCCTGTCCTTGGCATGAGTCTTTTTGACCAGGTATGCAACTTGGAGCATCATGCACGCATAGGATTCGATAATGTCATGAGAGATTGCGTCACTCTTCTTTTCTCCCCACCGTGTGTTTCACTAGGATGTGAATGATCGCTGGAGTTTCCAGCATCCTCAGCTTTACTCCCCGGGGCCTCTGAATATTTACTTCAATAAGAAGTCCATGGCGTGCTGCATGATCCACAGCTGCTACAGCTCCCTCGTTGTTTTCTTCATCCCGTGGGCGGCCATGCACGACACGGTCGCTGACGACGGCAAAGACATTGCAGATTATCAGTCCTTTGCTTTTGTGGTGCAGACGTGTCTTCTTCTTGTTGTCAACATCCAGGTAAGGAAGGGCATCATGTAGCAGCACATACCTAGCGATCCTTTTGTCCCAATGACACATCTCGGTCTTAGAGTGGGACCAAAGAAACTGTCAGACTTTATTCAAGTCAAATATTTCAACAATTATTTTTCAAATAACCAGAGATTACGGTCATATACCTTTTCATTATTGGGCTTCCCCCATCAGTGATGACTCATATGAAAAGTTTGTGATTTAAACAGGACTGAAGTAAGGTAGAGCAAGGACATGATGATTCTAATTGGCAATGGTTTACAAGTGCCCCACTTAAAAAAAAACAAACGATTTTGACTCATTTTGGGGCGGCCCGGTAGTCGACTGGTTAGCAGGTTGGCCTCACAGTGCAGAGGTGCACGGTTCGATCCCGGCTCCGGCCTTCCTGTGTGGAGTTTGCATGTTCTCCCCATACCTGTGTGGGTTTTCTCCGGGTACTCCGATTTCCTCCCACATTCCAAAAACATGCGTGGCAGGTTAATGGAACACTCTAGATTGTCCCTAGGCATGAGTGTGGGCGTGGATGGTTTTTCGTCTGTGTGCCCTGCAATTGGCTGTCAACCAGTTCAGGGTTTACTGACCGAGGACAGCTGGGATAGTCTCCAGCACCCCCGCGACCCTTATCTGTGTGCCCCGCAATTGGCTGTCAACCAGTTCAGGGTGTACCCCCGCCTACTGACCGAGGACAGCTGGGATGGGCTCCGGCACCCCTGCGACCCTTGTGTGGATAAAGCGGATCGGAAAATTGATGGATGGATGGATGGAGTGACTCATTTTGAATGATGACTCTTTCAAAAAATTGCAGAAACTTGGAGTCAAGGATCTTGTTCACGGTGCCAAGGGGCATAATGTGTATTGACAGTAAATCATATGTTTAACTTCCTTTGGGCTTTAATTAATGTGCACATTATTAACGAGTGACAATTACTGATTCATTCAAAATGCATTCATGTTTTTTATACAACATAATAACCATTGTATGCTTAAAGAATAGTAATAATAAATCCACTCTGATTGTGAATACTTTAAAAATTAGATTCCGCATACAACTGAGAGTGGCAATTCATACTGTATGTGCTCTAATATTTATAACATTTACTTTTTTTTTTGTGTCAATGTTTCAGCTTTGTCTAGACACAAATTACTGGACAGCCGTGAACCAGTCCTTTATGTGGGGCAGCCTGATACTGTACTTCGCCACCACGTTTGCCATGCACAGCAACGAAATGTTCTCCATATTCACCTCTGTATTTCCTTTCATCGGTGAGGCACTTTAAGCCGGAACAAGAACTACTCCAGCACTAGGTTGCCGTTTGATTGTCAAAGAATAAGCCCAGTGTTAATTAACATGCTAAGGAAAAGGTTTAGCGTCCTGTCGCATGTCATGAAGTGGCCCATTTTGATCTCTTTGGCTGCTGTGCTTTGCAAATTGTGACGTGTGTCGTCCTGTGTTTGGGGCTGCAGGAACAGCAAGGAACTCTCTGAGCCAGCCGAATGTGTGGCTGACAATATTCTTGACATGCCTCCTCTGTGGTCTTCCGGTGTTGGCCTTCCGTTTCATTGTCATTCAACTTCGGCCTACCGTCAATGACAAGGTATGACAGTCGTAGGTGTTATGTGACTAGCTCGGCTAGGCGAACATCCAAAGACACTTTCAAAATAGAGTACGAAACACGACCATGCAGAACCTCCCACCTCTATATTGGTACGACGTCGCTGCTATCATGTCAAAGCCAAAAGGTAAGCAGAGCTCGATTCTGCTTTGTTGGAAGCACAGAGGACTGTTTGCTGACACCAGTGGCTTCGGATAAGTGGCAGATTTAATCAGTCAATGGAAGCAAAACCAAGACTGGCCCTTTTTGTGGCACGGGGCTAACGTTAGCATCCTTCACTCCCTGGACTTCAGGCCTTAAAATGAGCCATAGTTTTCCCAAAACACAAATACATTTTCCAATTTGTAGCTCTGTCAGGGTGTTCAAATTTTGAGATGTGACTTTGTTATCTACAGGTGAGATATAAGGTGCGTAAGGAGGGGCTACCCGGTCCTGTTCCTTGCCATCCGCCAGCCAGGCGAGTCAGCACTCGGCGGTCGAGCTACGCCTTCTCTCATGCTCAGGGCTATGGCGAGCTGGTCACATCACGAAGATTCCTGCTAAAACGTCCTGTCAAGAGTTGCAACAATGACACCAAAGAGCCACAGCTCTACCGTATAATCTCAAAGGATTCAGAGCATCAACCACAGAAGCACTAATTAACAGGTAGCAGCTCACTGAGACCATATGTTACTTTCTCACCCACTACCCATTACTGACACCGTGTAAGTCAGTTTATGAGGAAAGTAATACAAAATCTTCATTTTGTCTGTATTTTTATTTGGTGGTGTACCATGAGATGTTTCTTTTGTCAAATGAGTGCCTTGGCTCAATAAAGGATGGCAAATCTTGCTCTTGTTTTTCCAAAATGCTCAGCTGGTTTAGAACTTGTTCAGCGCGAACTTTCACATTCCAAATACGCAATACACACCTTTTACATATTTCTCCATTCTGAATAACCACAATCCACTGCAAAATTAATGGCGGAATTGAAATCTTCTGTGGCATTCTTTCACATGGAAACAACATTAAAAAAATGGTGCGTGTAATTATGCAGATTTGACTTGGCCTTCCATGTGTACCTTTTCACAACCACTGTTTGAAGACAATGGCAATGCAAACTTTATCAACGTTACTCTCTTAATGACTACGTGGAAGAGCACATAGCTAACAGAAACCCCTCTAGCATAGCATAAAGGCAGCCAATAAAACATCCCTACCAGCAGCCTTCTTTCTCAGTCTTACTTTTTCAAGTTCCACTTTCAGGCATGCGCATTCACCGCAGAGGGTGTGCTGCATACCTGCTTTGTCAAGTCAAAGCCACATTGTCTGCTCTGATTGGTCTGAGTCATTCATTTCTACCGTTGTTTTACTGCCCGGCCGGTATCACCATCGAGGTCCAAAGATCACTTTATTGTTTACCCAAGCGGTTAGCAGTGACACTCACACCCGGGTGGAGTTCTTCCTTTTTAAACCCAAAACCTCGACTGGTGTCTCCTCTCGAGACACCTGCTCCATCCGGCGTAGCTTTCATCCGATAATTGGGGGTCTCAACGAAACCATCTGGTTCATAACTCTGTACCAAGTCTGGAAGTCCAAAGTGAGTGCACCCAACTGCCAGCCTTTGTTTGAGACAGTCTCAGACAGAGAATTGTCTCTTTTTTTTGGCCATGTTTCTGTGAATGTGGAAGAGCCTAAAGGACACCAGCCTTGTTATTGTTTAAGGTATGTCTTCAATCTCTTGTCTCTCTGTAATCTCTCGTCTCAACCACACAAGAGTAATAGATGGTACATAATGAATCAAAAGTGTAGTTCTTACCCTATTGGAGCCACATTGTTCGTTCTTTCTGTCAGAAATCAAATCAAAAGAGTTCTTTCCTGCATTTTCCTTAAATGTGTTAAGATAAACCATGACGTGATGGAAAATCACCTGAAATCAATGACAGCTTTATGAAAAGCATTCCTCTTTTTTAAGTGGATAAATTTGAACCTAATTTGATTCATTGTGCACACGGAAAAAAAAAAGATGTTCCTCATGCTTCAGACCACATTTTTCACTTCCGTCTAACCTTTTAGGTGAGAATAAATATAAGCGTTTCCATCTTTGACTCCTGATACAAGTGAACAAAAGGACCATGGTCATATCACCATGTATAATCTTTGTGGTTATAAACTATCCGTCATATAGTTTTTACTTCGGTGCAAAGGGTTGAGTAGGGAGTGGCTGCCTTCATTTGGTCCTGAAAACCTCAAGTTTTGCCCACCGTAGATTGAGATGCTTGCTCTTGTGTCGTGGTCAAAAGTGTGCCAAGTTTAACTGTGGTTCTTTCTTTTTGTGTCATTGACAGGTGCTTGAGCAAATGAGAAGTGAAATGGAAAAAGCACGTGTTTGTCTGCCAGTCACGCCACAGCATTATTATTAAAAGTTATTCGGTGAGTGGTGAACATTAGAAAATGCTAAAAATTCTACCAATGAAAATATTTCATGGTAAAATCTAATTTTTGGAAGCTGGGAGAGGCCAAAATACTATTTTCCATTTTTGTTGTTTTTTTTTAATTGTTTAAATCAAATATTCAATCAGATCAATATGTTGAACTCAAAAAAACACTCAAAAAACTGGATTGCACTGTACATCTTAACAGCTTTTATACATATGATCTCCTGGGGACACAAATTGCACCAATTCGGCGTAACGGCCCTCGTATTTGAAGACAAAACCAAAATATAGTCAATAACTGTTGGAATACACTGTTGTCATCTAAGGCTGTCATTATCTTTGCACAGTCAGGGTTGCTGATTTGAATTTTGTATTTCACAAATAGTGTGCGCTGCTTCAAATCTCTGATGCCATAGCCGAACAGTTCTCAGGATCCCGCCATCCCTTCTTGCAAGTATAATAAAACGTGATTTTTTTTTTTTTTCAGCTGAATAATATGCAGTAACAGTGATACAATGGGATCGGTGGAGTCCTACTTTGGTCAGCTGTGTCGGCAGCAACAAAAGAAAGGTAAGCACAAAGGGTTTTATATATATAAAACACCAAGATTGGGGTTTTTTTCAATATAAAATAACTTAGGGATTTCTCTTTTTTTTTTACCAACAGAGGAGGAGAGACGTTTGCGAGCTAATGACAGACCTTTCAACCTGTCCTACCACTATGCTGTGAGTACCCAACGTTGAAGAAATAACACAGGAGCAATGGTGCTCGCTTCTCACTTACCTCCCTCTTCAGAATAATGCTATCAAGACGTCCAAATACAATGTCTTCACCTTCCTGCCACTGAACCTTTTCGAGCAGTTCAGGAGGCTCGCCAACAGCTACTTCCTCTTCCTCTTTATACTTCAGGTAGGCCTAATCAGCCAGATAACGTGATGGTACAAACTGGCAACAACTTGAGATCCACATTCAATAAGTATGCATGTTTTTAATGTCATAACCACACGGTAATTCACCATTTTTTTGACATTGGCTATCAAGCCAATGTCTCTCTGTCCACATTCGCAAAGCACCTTATCATCACACACTGACTGACCTCCAACATGGCGGCTGCGGGTATGTAATGCATCAGTGCGACGTATCTTAATTGTGTGGGCATGTTTTTACAGCTCATCCCACAAATCGCCTCGCTTTCTTGGTTCACCACAGCCGTCCCGCTCGTTTTGGTTCTCTCGATCACAGCGGTCAAAGACGCCACCGATGACATTGTGAGCTGGCATTACTCAATGATAATCTTTGGAAGTCAGCGTTTAGCAATAATCATGTTTCATTGTAAGACGTTAAAGAGTGTTTTGTGTTTTTTCTGCCGACTGTACATCAAACAGAACAGACACAAGAGTGACAAACAAGTGAACAACCGTAAAGTCAGCGTCCTCATCGACGGAGAGTGAGTCATTCACATTTTTTTTCGTTATATACTGTATTTGTTTATTGCACATTGAATACCAGAATCCAGCCATATACTGCATGTTATAATGTATATTGATAAATAAAATGTGTTGAGAGTTTTTTTTTTTCTTGTATGGTCTTAAATTAAAAAGCATGTGTTTTATCCCTATCACACTACAATGAAAATGTATATTTGTTTTTGTTCTGGTAGACTCCAAAGTGAAAAATGGATGAATGTTCAGGTTGGAGATGTCATTAAATTGGAAAATAACCAGTTTGTCACAGTAAGTGTCACAACAATAACGTTCAAGTATTCATCAATATCCTTTGCTGCTTTAAAAATATGTTTGTTATGAGGCTCGGACCTCAAATCATGATATAATTTTGGACTTGACTATGACCCTTAGTGTTTGATGACTTTATGGAATCGAATGTTTTTTTTAAAATTTCTATTTATTTATTTTTTCCAGGCAGACCTTCTTTTGCTCTCGAGCAGTGAGCCTCTAAACCTGGTCTATGTGGAAACAGCAGAACTGGATGGGTGAGCGGATGATTCAGTACATATTTGTTTGTTTGGCTGGAACTGCGGTTTGGTTCTTTCCCCATCATTCTTCTCATGTGCTCATGGTGTCCCACCCCAGTGAAACCAATCTGAAGGTGAAACAGGCACTGACTGTCACTGGAGAGATGGGAGACAACATCGAAGCACTGGCCAGCTTCACAGGTGAGAACTTGAGTAATTTGTTATTTAAGAGTGACACTTCTTAACATACCGGATGCTCAAAGATGATGATGATGCGTCACTTCAATGTTTCGCAGTTGAAGTCAGATGCGAATCCCCAAACAACCGCCTGGACAAATTCAAAGGGACACTCGCAGTAAATGGACAAACATACTCTTTGGACAATGACAAAGTGCTTCTTCGTGGATGCACTTTGAGAAACACAGAGTGGTGCTTTGGATTGGTTATCTTTGGAGGTAAACGACTGCTTACCGTCGACTCATTCTGGGTGCAAGTAAGATGGCATCAAACTTGTCATAATTACACCTTTGGGGGCCTGACAATCTGGACCCACAGGGGGGCTACATGTGCTTCACATTTTTTTTTTAAAATAATATCGATCCTAACTTGAACTTCATAATGAATAGTACAGTACACAACCAGTTCAGGGTGTCCCCCACCTACTGCCTGGGATAGGCTCCAGCACGCCCGCTACCCTGGTGAGGATGCGGATGAGAAAATGGATGGATAGTACAGTACAGCAATAACTGTAAAAATTATAAAAGCCTCCCTCCACCATTCACATATACACATAATGCAATTGTAACTTCGATAATGTTCTCATGGTTTACATCTTGGGAACATGATGGCTTCTTTTTTTCTTTTTTGTTATCCTTTCTGACATTAATCCAAGAACTGCCATTGAAATGTCTTTTGGAAATTTACAAACATTTTCGAATGCGCACGAGTAACAGTGTGATCCTACTTTTGCAGGTCCGGACACAAAGCTGATGCAGAACAGCGGAAAAACAACGTTCAAGCGCACAAGTGTTGATCACCTCATGAATGTCTTGGTGCTTTGTGTGAGTTTCTGTTTTTCACAAAATGGTATGCAACTGTGTTACATGAAATACCATATTGGCCCGAATATAAGACGGTGTTTTTTTGCATTGAAATAAGACTGAAAAAGTGGGGGTCGACGCTAGATGGCGCCAGATATCATTGAAGCCAATGCTGAACTTGACTCCCCAGGCCAAAGTGAACCCCTGTCACAAAGAATAAAAATAAAAATAGCGCTAGCACGACGAAGAAAAATAAAAAATAGCGGTAAGGAAGAAAAGAGAAGAAATTGTTGGAAGAGATAACAGAAAATGGAGAAACGTAGCGACAATCTGGAGAAAAGTGGGTCGAAGATCGGCCAGGTTAACCGGCAGCTGAGAAGTTATGATGTAATTTACATTTCAAAAACGAGAAGCCATTCATTTATGAATGGGATTTCACTTTAGTTTACATATTTAGATGTTCAGATATTAAGATTTGAATGAGGCAAAATAACATGCTTTTTGTCTCAAATATATTGTTATCATTTGTTTCAGATGTACTGTAATTATTTTCTGAATACAAATTAATTTGGTGTTCAAAAAGTCTTTTTGCAAACTTGAGTCTTGAAAAAGAGGGGATCGTCTTATAATCAGGGCCGTCTTGTATTCGGGCCAATACGGTATTAGAATATCTACTGTGGGACTTCAAAGTTTGGCTATTCATAAGCCGGGCAGTTCAATGGGAACACTGGCACAGTCTAATGAGATCAATTACGGGACCTTCAAACCTGATCTGATCTCGTCTTACTCATGCACAAGATAAAGTGAGTGCGAAAGCCACACGTTAAAATACTTTTACTCCTGTAAATAAGCATTTCCACCCCTCCCAATCAGATATTTGGCTTCCTGGCTTCCATGTGCTCAGTTCTGACCATTGGCAACGTGATCTGGGAAGTGAAGGAAGGCTCGGCATTCACTGTGTTCCTCCCTCGGGAACCTGGTGTTGATGCACCTCTTTCATCATTCCTCACCTTCTGGTCTTATGTCATCGTCCTCAACACGGTGGTGCCTATATCTCTCTATGTCAGGTATGTATTCTGGCTCATGAAGAACCAACGCGTGTGGAGCTACGGTGTTTTTCCTCACAATTCACTTTCATACGTCAGTGTGGAGATCATCCGTCTTGGGAATAGTTTCTACATTGACTGGGATAGGAAGATGTATTATGCCAAGAGTGACACTCCGGCTCAGGCGAGGACCACCACTCTCAATGAGGAACTGGGTCAGATCAAATATATCTTCAGCGACAAAACTGGCACCCTGACGCAGAATATCATGGCATTCAATAAGTGTTCCATCAATGGCAAAAACTACGGTGAGCAAATGAATGAAACGGCACAGAATTTTTTTTTTAAAAAGATCAAATATAAATTGATTGGGCTGCCTTGATTTTTCAGGTGAGATATTAGACTATTCAGGACAAAGGATGGAAATAACAGAGGTGAGTTATATCAATGGTTCATATCATCAGAAGCTGCGAGCAGAGCAGAAATAACTTCATCGGGTCTCGTCTGACTGATTTGGAATCATTACTGACATGCGTCTTTCTCTCGGTAGAAGACACCGAGGGTCGACTTCTCGTGGAACCGGCTGGCCGATCCAAAGTTCATTTTTCATGACCACAGCTTGGCAGAAACTGTCAGGGAGGGCAACTCGGAGGCTCAGGCCTTCTTCCGGTTGCTGGCTCTGTGCCACACTGTGATGCCTGAGGAAAAGAAAGAAGGTGAGCTTCTTCATTACCGCGGTTTATATGTGATACTAAATCCAGCAATGGAGCCATTTTAAATGTCTCCTTTGCGACCAGGCGAATTGTACTACCAGGCTCAGTCCCCTGATGAAGGTGCTCTTGTCACTGCTGCAAGAAACTTTGGCTTTGTGTTCCGTTCACGCACACCGGAGACCATCACAGTTGTGGAGATGGGCCAACAAGTCGTCTATGAACTTTTGGCTGTTTTGGACTTCAATAATGTGCGCAAGAGGATGTCAGTCATAGGTAAAACCAACAACAACATATATTACCGTAATCACTCTGATTTTATTTCCTCTTGATATGCTGTATTTTTAAACAGTACATCAAGGGCCACTGATGATGTAGAGAGTCGCGTGCCTTCAGTGCAGGCATCATGGGTTCGTTTACACTTTGTGAGTGTGAATGGTTGCCTGTTTCTATTTGACCCTGTCAATGACTGGCAACCAGCAGGGGCGGAGCTACATGGTGGTCAGGGGTGGCCACCCATTTTCATTCTCGAAAAACCACAATAAAGTACTAATGGGATTTTTGTTGTTGTTGTTTAAATTTTTGCGCACTTGTTCACATGGATGCAGTATTTTTCGACCCATTGATATTCTGCCACAAGTTGTTTATCTTAATGCATTACCGTATTTTCCGCACTGTAAGGCGCACCTCAAAACATTTCATTTTTTTCAAAAGCCGACAGTGCACTTTATAATTTGATGCACCTGATATATGGATCATTATTCTGATTTCTTGGACGTGGTATTTTAAATGTTCTGTAAAGCGCTTTTGTAGTGGGAATTTGACATATAAGAGCACTAAATTGAAGATAAGCAAAATTCCTGCCCATGCACTATTCTGTACTCTGTGTAGCTGATGAAAATGCTGATTGGGCTGACCTTCACCACCTCCCAACAAGATAAAATGAGAGCTAAAAGAAAGGCTCCCTTGACAGATCTGTGAACAGTGTCCCTCCATGTTTTTTCTCGTCTTTTTCTTTCTTAAATAAATTTCATCTTTTTTTTTTTTTATAAATACTTTTGTTGTCTTGGTTTCCCTGGACAAGACACTTTATTACAGCTGCAGCGTTTGTGAAAGCTCTATATAAATTAAGCTGTATTGTATTTGCACCTTATACTCCGAGGCGTCTTATAGAGCGGAAAATATGGTAATAATGTAAAATATGAACTGCATGTAAAGAACAAATGTACAATTGACCTGAATCCACACTTTAACAGAATCTGCCTGATGGAAAGAACATTTTGATTTTTCCAGTTAATATTAATCCAAATCATTACTGTCACAAGTGGCAATCAAGCCACGTATCTGAGAAGACATAGCTAATCATACCATCCACAGTCATTGTTTCATCTGGTGACCAGTCTAGGTTGTACTCTCCCTTTCACCCGAAAGTCAACTGAGAAAGTTTTCAGCTCCTTGGGAGCCTGAATGTAATAAGATGTATAGAAAATGCTGGGATGGATGTGCACTTTAGTTTCATCATTGAATCACTATTCTATGTGCCATGTGGTGGGGCATCAAAGTTTTGTCAGAAATACTGAATTAAAGATGTGAATTACTTGGGAACTTCATATTCTCGCTGTGATTGCCAGTTCGTAGCGCTGAGGGGAAGTTGACTCTATACTGCAAAGGAGCAGACACCATCATCTACGAGAGGCTTCACTCATCCTGCAACAAGCTAATGGGCGTCACCACCGGACATCTCAATGTGAGTTTTAATTTTTTCCTTCGAAATATCAGACATTGATCATGAATGATGTTTTTACCCCCTAACCTTAGGAGTATGCAGGCGATGGTCTCCGCACATTGGTTCTGGCTTACAAACATTTGGATGAGCACTATATGAAGGAGTGGATGCAGCGTCACCACGAGGCCAGCACCGCCCTCGACGGAAGGGACGAGAAACTTGATGAACTCTATGAAGAAATTGAAAAAGACTTGTTGGTTGGTACACTTACTCAGTCACTTACCGGTACTTTATACTGTTTTGTTGCAGATTAAAAGTGAGTGTTTTTATTTCACTCAATAATCAAGAATACGAATCTTTTATTTTGTTATATGACACAAGGGTTGTTTTTAGTACTCAAGCAGCATGAGTGGTTCTTCTGAAAACTAAAAACAAAGTATTTAAAATGGCATACTTACAATATTACAAACTTTTGATTTAGCTTCTGGGAGCAACGGCAGTAGAAGACAAGTTGCAGGATGGTGTGCCTCAGACAATAGAGCAGCTCGCCAAAGCTGACATAAAAATCTGGGTATTGACCGGGGATAAACAGGGTTGGTATCATTTTATTATGTGATTTTTTTTTTTTTTAATAGCTAATTTATCAGGAATCTCAATGTCTCTGTACCCTGGGGAACATATTTTCCCCAGGTGTTTACCATAACTTGACAATTTATGTTTTGCTTCATTGATTGTGTACAAATCTTAAATTCCATCAGAGACTGCAGAGAACATCGGCTATTCTTGCAACATGCTGCGAGAAGAGATGAAGGATATTTTCACGGTGTCAGCAAATACAGCAGAAGGAGTCAAAGAGGAGCTAGTGTAAGTGAGTTAAAATATGTCAATATTTTTGTTCACGGTCTGTTATCATGATTTTTGTTTTTTTTTTTTTGCATGAGTCACACCATCCATGCTGTACTGTTTTTAGGTGCGCAAGGAGGAAAATGTGTCCCTCGGCAGCAGAGGCACCAACTGTGGCCAAAGCTCGTGCAGGTCTCTTCTGGCTTGAAAAGACAGAAACCGTGCATGATGACAAAGTGGATGGGGAATATGCACTTGTTATAAATGGACACAGTCTGGTAAGTGAGCGTTCACCCCCCCTTATGTTTATGAAATTTGACTTAATTTCTCCACCCATAATCGAAATCCTCGGTTCCCTTATCTTCCTCTTGGTCCCTAGGCCTTTGCCTTAGAGAAAGGCCTGGAGTTGGAACTATTAAGGACAGCATGCATGTGCCAAACCGTGATCTGCTGCAGGGTCACCCCACTACAGAAAGCCCAGGTTGTTCAACTGGTTAAAAAATACAAACAGGCGGTCACTCTAGCCATTGGGGACGGGGCCAACGACGTCAGCATGATCAAGGGTAAGTAAACTCACTGACGGATGATACAGCTGCGCTAAGAAAAGCTCAGCATTCTTTTGGCCTTATTGCTCTTTGTCTTCCAGCTGCACATATTGGTGTCGGCATCAGTGGTCAGGAGGGCATGCAGGCCGTTCTGTCCAGTGACTTCTCCTTTGCCCAGTTCCGCTATTTGCAGCGTCTGCTGCTGGTGCACGGGCGCTGGTCATATCTGCGCATGTGCAAGTTTCTACAGTACTTCTTCTACAAGAACTTCACCTTCACCTTCGTACATTTCTGGTACGCCTTCTTCTGTGGCTTTTCTGCACAGGTGAGGGACATTCAAGAGCTTTAAGTTGATGACTCTTGTTGTGCACTACAAATGATGGCCGTTTCCGTATTGTGACCGTACGATACAGTTAATGGACTCAAATTATTGCAGATTTGTAGAAATGTCATGCCTCTCCACTATGCAAACGTGGGCATACTGTACAAGTCCTAGAAGTTCATGGCACCCACACAAAGAATACCTTCCAGATCCCATGCCAAGAGACTCCAAGATGTACAATAGAGTGGGCAACAGAAAACTAGACCACCAAGTCAGCTTCCGCTCAACCACTCCACTAAATAGCACCATACTCCAGTTTTCCTGCTATTAAAAACAAGGGGAGTTGGTCCCAAGTGGCTGAACTCTGCCAGATTCTCTGAGTGAAAACATGATCACTGGGCACTGACCCGTGATCTCTTTGCCAGTCCTGGGTGTGAGGCCTCAGTGCCGCCTGTCCAGATGGGGTACAGCACCTTTGTGTAGTATTATCTAGTGATGGGAAAATGAAGCTTCATGAAGCACTTGGTATTTCATGACCATTTCTCGAGATGGTGCACTTGGTTTAAAGATAAGATCTAGTGCAATGGAAACCAAGAATGCGATCTAGAGGGGTCAAAAAATAATCGCAAGTGCTTCATGAAGCTTCATTGATCCTTCATTATCCACAGAAATCTTTTGAATCACCCTTATAAGTCTTTATCGTGGTCCAATTTGCAATGGGATGCAGGGGGCATACTCAGGGAGCCCCAACATAATAGGCTCCTAGGCTCATCTGATGACTTTAACCCCTGTGCCACAATGCGATTACCGGTCACAGATTTTGGTTTATATACTAATATTATCAATGTTGACCTTTTGCTGTTATAATTCATAGACTGTGTATGACGAGTGGTTCATCACCATGTACAACCTGGTGTACACAGCCCTCCCTGTCCTAGGAATGAGTCTTTTTGACCAGGTACGCATCAATCACAGGACACTACATTAGGTATGTCTGCATAATACAGTAAGATCAGATGTAAGAGTTTGTTGCTTCTCTTCTCCTCCTTTCGTTTTTTTCAAAGGATGTGAATGATCGCTGGAGTTTCCAGTATCCGCAGCTCTACTCCCCTGGGCCTCTGAACACTTATTTCAACAAGAAATTATTTGTCCGTTGCATGATGCACAGTTGCTACAGCTCCCTCATCCTCTTCTTCATTCCATGGGCGGCGATGCATGACACAGTCCGAGACGACGGCAAAGACATTGCGGATTATCAGTCCTTTGCTTTACTGGCACAGACGTGTTTGCTTGTCGTGGTCAGCATCCAGGTAAGGAATACGCTTTTCCTTTCATCATTTTTCATCTAACTCCATTTAGCCAATGTTGCACACCAATCATAAATACTGTAGTCTCATATAGTCAACCCTGTCTTAGTATACGCAGTGCAAATGAATATGTTCATGAATAAATATGTAATTTATATGTACTTTCAACATGTCCCAGCTGTGTCTAGACACCCATTACTGGACAGCTGTGAACCAGTTTTTTGTGTGGGGCAGCCTTGCAGTCTACTTTGCTACCACGTTTACCATGTTCAGCAATGGCATGTTCCTAATCTTCACCTCCGCATTCCCCTTTATCGGTAAGTCGCTGCAGCTTACTGCAGAAATCACGCGAGGCTAATTTTCATGTTATACCGGTAATATAAGAAGTAGTACATAGTTTAAAACAAACAAACAAAAAAAAAACGGTTGTATCCTGTTGTGACATTTTTACCAATTGGTTTGGGGCTGCAGGTACAGCGAGGAACTCTCTGAACCAGCCTAATGTGTGGCTGATTATACTCTTGACAACGCTCCTCTGTAGTCTGCCGGTGGTGGCTTACCGTTTCACTGTCATTCAGCTTTGTCCCACCGTCAATGATAAGGTATGAAATTATTAGTTATTGGTCAAGTTATTAGTCAGCGACTCATGTAGCACCTGGGGAACACAAATGGAACATAACTGGGAGCAATTCATCTCCATATTTTTTGTTGGAAATTGTGTATTAAAGAAATTAAAGAAATGACTCTCTCTCTGACAGGTGAGACATAAGTTGCGGAAGGAGGCGCTGCCAGGCCCCGCGCCTCGTCGTCCGCCGGTCAGGCGAATCAGCACCAGGCGATCGGGCTACGCCTTCTCTCACGTGCAAGGCTATGGCGACCTGGTGACATCGCGAAGATTTCTGCGTCCTCGAAAGAACCGGCCCGCCTTGTTCAAACAAACAGACTCCCCTCTGGTACAGAACCAGCCACAACACTACCGCACCATCACAGAGGAGCCAGAGCAGCCAATGCGGCACTAGACAAAAGGTACACGTGATGAGGTTTCAGTGGGGGGGCTCATGAGAAAAATCGCTGCATGGATGGGTTCTGAGACAAACTGTTATACAGTTATGTGTACTGTAAAATTACAAAAAAAAATATGTTTAAAAAGAGCATGGATTTTTTTCCTTACAGGGAAATACACTGTTGGACTCAAAGTCTAATTTCAGGTTCGGTTGGGGTTGAATTACTTACAACTGATTATCAAAATTTGAAACTCATAAATTTATATCACAACTCACCACTGTAAAAAAAAATATTGCCGGGACTCCCTTGACCACACTTCATTCATTACAAATGCATATGAAAGCTGCCTCACAGCTGAGATGACGTGAATTTGTATCTTGGGCATGTTTGATGTTTGCATGTTCTCACTGTCATTGTGGAGGTTTTCCTGCATCGTCCAATTTCCTCTCACATACCAAAAACATGCATGTTAGGTTAATTGAAGAGTCTACAGTAAATTGTCCATAAATATGAATATGAGTGTGAATGGTTGTGCCTGGCGATTGGCTGGCAACCAGTCCAGGGTGTACTGCGCCGCTTGCCCAAAGTCAGTTTGGATAAGCTCAAGCAGACAAGCGATACCTTCATGTCTATCTATCTATCTATCTATCTGTCAAGTGCTAAAAGTGGAAACTGGCTGGCTTGTTCTCTACGAGATTTTTTATTTTTTTTTAATGGAAACATGTCAGCCAATCGGAGAAGGGGGTTCCCCGAGTAGAAGACGAAACGAAAGGGTCGAGGACAAGATTTGAAGTTATACCATTTTATGCGAATTTGTCGGGGCTTTTAACCTGATTTTCTAGAGGGGAAAGGGAAACAAAATCTGCATTTAAGTAGCTGTTCCAACCAGGCCCAACATTTTGAAAGACTGTCATTTTGTGGGAAATCTTGAAGCCTGTTTACCAATTAGTTTAATAGCGTTCTAAGAAAAAAACAATAACAATTGAATTTCCTCAGTCAAACACACATTTTAACGTGCATTTTAATTAAATTATATCATGTCGTGAACTATCTGCTTTATAGTTGGGATATACTAACTAGGGTATGAATTTTACGTCATATTTTGGTTTTGCTTTGTATTGAACTGCCATTGTCCCAAGTGTCATTGTTAGTGCATTTTGAGTTATTTTCATTGTGTTGGATTTGTTGTTTACATGATTTATTATTTAGAAGGTTGTTGAACATATACTATTATTCTGCATTCATGAAACATCATGATTTGTTTCTTCAAATGACTTTGTCCACAAGGAGCTATGACAGTTTACCACTTGCAATGCTACCAAAGGACCACCAAGGGACAGTGTTGTTTTTTTAAACTAATTTTACCTCAGAGCCAGTAAAGTTGGTATCTTGAAAGGAATACTGTACCTGTGGCCATTATTTTACCGAACCGTTCTAACTTGTGTCAAATCTATGGATGAATTGCTTGGTATTGACACAAACTTTGTTTTCAGAATGATCATTAGTGTCTCCCAGGGGACAAAACAATGTGAGGGAAAGACAAATACTCATGTAAAAAGTAAATTGCTTTCTTATTATACTTGCAATTGGCTGAATGCATATGTGAATTGTCGTAAAGGAATTATATTGTCTATTTAATGAACATTTCATGACAGATGTATTTTTTGAAATGAGAGAGAACAAAACAGCAAGGAACTCCACTCTAGCAAAACTTTGCCTGAGTGCACCACGTGGTCAGGTCAGTCATCCAAAAAAAAAAATATATATATATATATATATATATTATAAAAAGTGAAAACGACAAATCCCTGAAGGGTTTGTTAGAAATAATAGAAAAAGGTGAAGTATAAATACAAACAGATTTATAACATGTAGGTACTGTATGTAGATCACTTTTGATGTCTAAAGTAGCTTCATATCACATGAACCTCTTTCAGCATGTGCATTGAGTCGCACTGTTGACTTAGCTGCAATGTCCTCTGGGACCGCAAGTGATGACATCACTTGTTGCAATTCCACAATGGCACAGATCCAGAAGAGCTTTTGGTCCGTCAGCGAACGTGAGGGAAATTTTCTACAGGAATATAATTTCAAGCAATGAAAATAAAAATACTTAAAAAAAACAAAACAAAAAACAACAACAAAAAAAAAACCATTAAAATCATGAGAAACATCAAGCATATCTAATTTGTTTAAAAGCATCCACGAGACAGTTAAAATAAAAATGGTACCTACAGCTTAATCTTTGAATGTCATTTCAAATCCAGTGATATTAGTCAAAATTCCATGCATGTTCCTATCGGGCCAAGCATTCTGTCAGATGGGTCACCATCCTTCAGTGAAGGTCACCGCGTGATCCTGCTGCATGGGGGAGGAAAAGACCCTGGCAGGCGTGTTATAAATAGCCTCATTCTGACCACAAACATTCTACGAATGAAATTCTCTCTCCTTTTTTCCACCCAAACTAATATAGTATTCTGAGATGATATTCTTGCCTACAAGCAAGGCTACAGGAAGCATTGACCAGTGAATGTGAAACGGAATCAAGGTATTTAGTGGGTTTTTTTGGGGGGGGGAGGGGGTTGAAGTCATCATTCCCGAATTTTCAAGCCTGTTGTCACATATTTCGCGGAGCAAGCTCATGCGGGAGAATCAAAAGCAATCAACATATATTTTAGGTAGAACTGCTGATATTGTCTCATAAATGTAGTGATGGGAAAATGAAGCTTCAAATTCGCTTCATGTATCAGGTGTTTTTTTGTTTTGTTTTGTTTTTTTGTTACTCCTCGAGATGGCACTCTCTGTTCAACTTTGGTCTGAAATTGCACTGATTTGCTAAACCCCTTTATTTAAACCAACAGTGCTACCTAGAGGACTCAAAAAATACAACTGATTCAAAAAGCAAATTTGAAGCTTCATTTTCCCATCACCACTTAAATACGGCTTACTTTTTCTTCAAAGTGCTCTGCTGTCTCATCATTTCACCATTTCATAAGGTCTCCAAAAGATTTTTTTTTGTTACCAATTTCTGCCTGTTCAGTTGTTTTGTTCAGTTGTTCCGTTTTGTGCTGCTCCGTACCAGTCCGGACCACTGCCTTCGGGAGTGTCTAAGCTGCCAAGGGGTTTGCTTTTGCACAGAGCGTGCACAGACACTGGGTCAGGGTCTGCGTTAGTCATTTGGGTTAAGATCAAACTATGACAGCGGCTTCACAGTCAGCATGTTTGATAGATGAGTGTGTCTGTGTGATACTGACAGAGACGAAAGACTAAGGGGTGTCAGTTGTAAGCCTCAGATCTAAATAAAGGATTACCCTCAACCTTAGAAAGTGCGTACACTCTGTGCTGACACATTAGCAGGCGAGGGAGTGAGTTGCATGTCAGACGACCCAAGATATCATGTGAAGAGCTCTGAAGCACACTTATCAGCAAACACTGGCAGTGATTACACCCATCGCTGATCTCAACCTTAGATTACACTTGAAAGCACTCCACTCATTATAAATGTTATCAGTTATTCCCAGCATAAATGTTTTTCGCCTGATCAGAGTAAAGCTAACCCGTCAAATTGTTGGCCTCATCGGATCATTTTTACATGCTGGTGTATTGGTTCGTGTTATTTGGCATTGTGGATAAAAATGTCCTGAACTCATGTTTTGGACTGGAAAAAAAAAAATAAACAAACTGCTGGGCAAAGTCCTGCTGACCTCCTTTAAACTAAGTCAGAACAGCGCCAAGGTCCATGCTTGGCAAAGTTGTTGATCCCACAAACATTCAGTGTTCAAAACCAACGGGGAGGCTCACGTGTGTATCTCTTACACCGAACAGGGGGGGTCTCCCAAATGTCGAAGTGCCGCTGGGATCCTATTTCAAGGCGTTTTCATTTAAAGTTAAAAGCAGATTAACATTAAAATACCCACAGGTAAAAAACATTGTGCAAACTTTTTTTTTGTGTCATCTTATTCAACCAATGAAATTTGAGTTTGTGAATTGCAATTTACTATTTTTTTTAAGTTCCATAGGTGCTTTCAGTCATGAAACAGTCTTTTCTCAGACTACAGATTTGGTATTTCATAAGGATATGAGGCTTTTAGCCTTCTATAGACCCCTGTGCAAAAGCAGCAGTGCAGATTAATGATTTGCAGAGCTGACCGTAATAAATTAAAAAAAAAAAAAGGGGGGGGTGTTTAACTTTGAGCAGAAGATGGCATAACCCTACTCGTAATGTTTTCCCTCAAAGTCAATTGCTATCTGGATTTATATGTTTGAAAGATAAGGTCCTGACCTTTTGTTTTTCCTCAGGGAAGAAAAAAAAACGTGTGTGTGCGTGCGTGCGTGTGGAGGGGGGAGGGGGGGTTCACTGGCCCTAACACTGGTCAACAGCAAATTTAATTAAATCAGAGGTGACCGTGTGTCCCGAGATGCATTTTTGACTCTGACTTCAAAATAGGTCTACTTTTGTACTGGGATTAAATCCAGTACATGAACTTTTACTTGATTCGATATTTTAAAAAGCCTGTATTATTGCCGCTCCAATAATAGAGGGCATGCGCGCACGCACACTATAACATCATTCAATGAATGACGGAACACTGGCTGCTATTACAGTCCCTCAAAATAACGAGCTTCTTAACACATGTAAAGTGAAGTGTAAATTCAATTGTGACCAGCAGGCACAAATGACATCCACATCACAATACAGCAAGTAGACTTTTCAAAATATGCTTTTGAATAATAGAAGAGCGGACAAGCAGTCAGTGCACGTTCGGCACAATATGCGAGCCACGTCTTGTTGACAGGAATTTTTGTGGTGTGAACAAAAAAAAAAACCAACAAAAAAAAAACTTTTTTTTTCCAAAAACACAATGAAACCAACTCCATTCTCATGTTAACATGCACTCAGAAAACAGGACCACCTGAAAAATCAAAACTGGCACAGGAGCGTTCAAATAACTGGCCTTTAATAAATGCATTGACTGCCACACAACTATGAAATGTCTTTAGGTACATCCAGTAGTAATATCACAAGATTGCATAATATGTAGAATAGACAAGACAGATTTAAAAAAAAAAAAAGACAATTGAGGGGAAAAAAACCCAACTAACAAGGCACTAGTATATGTAGCAACGACGGGACATGCATTTGGTCAAAAGCAGCATCACACGTGTAGTTTACAATATCAGGCCATTGGTGCACACCGGTTATTGCTTCGATTATTGCGCGAGTACAAAAGTGAACTGAATGTTTTCACATGGGGAGTCTTCCATCAAAAGTATTAGTTTCCAAAATAAACTTTCACTGCAACTTGCCCAGTATAAAAAAAAAAAAAACTGCTAATTGCATAAATCCCAGATATTGCTTTTGAACTAGAGTGCTATAATTAAGCTAGACAGTTTTAAACTTTTTTTTTTTCCCCCCCTCCGGGAACCCGTGTTAGAAAAATACTGGCTTGTCGCCATGAAAATAAATTGCTCGTACCGCCATTCATTAGCAAAGCAACCATGCTGCCATTTTACCGAAGTGGACAGAATGTGCCCATGTCCATCACATTAACCGGAGATGCACATGGATATTTGCAATGACGGCCAACTGTACACAATGACATTTGCTGAATATATGACCAAAAACAGTAGCTAGTTGAATGCAGTGCAAAATGCAACATTTGAAGCCAAACAATCCAACTGGTGCAAAAAAAATAACGTGGTGGCGACAGCGTAGAAAACGTTAACATCATTTCAGTTCAAACGCACCATGGTGACGTACCGTACGTGAAACCACTCAAAGGCGTGACATAAGTGGGAGTATGCTTCTGAAATTGTGTGACCCATCCTCTATAGCCCCATTTTAAAATAGCCCATGTTAATACATCATTTTTATTTCGTATGAAGACGTCACAAAGTTAGCATTTCAATATAATGGAGTATAACTCTTACTTTTTGGTGCCAATCTAAAAGCCCGAGCCATCACGCCTCACGGGAATCCCCAAAATTTGTGCACAAGCAGGTCTTCGCCACATCCTGTATCGAGCAGCCGGTTACCGCATTCTTCCCAGCGACACACTTGCCCCTGTTCGACAACGACAAACTTCCATTGCACGTGATTCTCAGCCGGAAGGCCCACCACGGCCTCCCAGTGTCCATCCTTGGCGCTCTCCAAAGGGATGAAGCGCTTCCAGTTCCCAAGCTCCCGCCGATTCCCTGTTACGGCCAAAATCTGCAACGGCGATTTGGTGATGTAGTGGACGCAGAAGGTCACGTTGACTTTTTGACTTTTTTCGTTTTCTTCAAAATCACACCCAGCAGTTTGTTTGGCACGAGGAACATCTCGAGGTTGTGAATCTGAGTGGTTGCATTCTTCAGTGGCAAGCTGTTGGGTTGCTTGGTGGTTCTCGCCACCAAAAGATGGCGCGGAGAGATTCATCCAGGGGAAGTTTGGGTTGCCATCGGTGATCCACTCATTATGGTCCATAGTCGCCTCCATGATATTTATTTCAGTCTTCACAAAGTCCTCGTCTTTTGCCATCGGCGCCTCTTTCTTTTCTGCACATTCCAATTTCTCACTTGAAACCTCAGCCACCTTCACATCTGACGATCTTTGCCATTCATCACTTTGGACCGGCATTGTAAACACGTCTGACTCTCTTTGGTTGCCTTCCCCAACGAGAGGGCCCAACATGTCCTCATTTGTTGCCAATGACTCAACGTGAGCACATTCTGTGTTCTGACTGTACGGCTGCTCTGGCAGTGGAGCTGGGTGAGGCTCATACACCACTCCATCTTCCTCCAAGACTGATAAAGTTGCGTTGTCAGGCAAAAGGCAAGTCGGAGGCTGTAGCCTGGCCTCAACCTGTGACTCGTGATCTATCGCCGGCATCTCAGTGGTGTCAAAGTGACTCCCGGGCTCGAGCATTTCAGGACTGACGGCCATGCTGGAAATGCCACTTTCTTCACCCCCTTCACACGTGTCGTTTTCCCTCAGCTCGCTTGGCTGAAAGAGCGGGAGGCAAATTTGAAGCTTGGGTAGTAGGTTCATCCTGTGTTCAGTCAAGACAGGAGCAGGAGCAGAGAAGGCGACGGGAAAATCGACATTCGGATCAGTTTGTTGGTCTTGAGCGGAAGACGTACTGGCCGCATGAGAGGGGTCGTCACCTGCGGAGTCAAACCTTGGCTCCCCGAAAGTTTTTGACTTCTCTCCATTGTCGCCATACTGGTCTTTGTCGATGGACGCTCCATTGTCACTAGCTAGGTTTGGAATGAGAGCCACTTTTGCCTTTTTCAAAGCGGCGTGGTCGAGTTCTTGAACACTTTGTTGCTCTTTGTGAGAAGACAAAACGCGGGGTTCGCACAAATGGTCAACAGGTGCCTCGCCCTCGGTAGCGAACGAATCTTTTTCGGTAAGGCCAGAGAGTTTTTCGGTTTCATCTTCAACAGTTGGGAGGTCTACTTTCTGTTCTTGTTGATCATGAGGTGACACGTCAGAGTCAATTTGGGGCGTCGTTTCGGAGGTGACATCTGGCATATCGGCGTCAACCACAGGTGGAACTCCTGAATTGCCATCCATGTTGCAACTCTCTCCTCGTCCACCATCAGGAAGGAGATTCATCTCTTGATGGCTCATAAGGCTTTGTTCCTCTTCACACTCAGCCTGAATTTCTCGATTATCCGATTCTGGTGATTCAGAGTCAAAATCGAAAGCTGTGTTGCTCAAGCCATCGAAACCTTCTGCAATTGCTTCATCGGACAACGTATTGCTGCCGTCAAACTCTTGCTCTTCAGTGGTGACTTCAGGGAGGCGAAAATAGGAATATACATTGGGATCTGCACCATCTTGGTGCTTCATCGCCTCCTCAAAGTCCTCATTTGGGCTCTTCTCTATTGAAACGACATCGAGGTTGAGCTCTGCCATTCCAGTGTCTGCTGCGTTTTTGTCGTCTTGTTTGTTTTGATCTTCTTCGTCTCTCTTTGGAAGGGTTTCCTCAAAGCGCTCTGGGTTACTTGACAAAGGCTCTTGTCTGGTTTTCTTGTAAGAATCCGCATCCGTGTTTACAGTCTGGTCTTCTTCATGTTGTTCTACCTGAAGAAGAAAACATGAAATTCAAACTTCAGTCATTTGAGTCACTGTAGTCACAAAAACAGTTTTACATTTGTATGTCCTTGATTGAATATGCTGGGGGTTTGTATTTTGTGCTTCATAATGTCGGTGGTGACCATTTTGCCGACTTTGGTCATCAGGACAAAATGCTCAAATTTGGCCTGATTCTCAGTATGTGTACCCAGCTTCAGGTGAAATTACAATTTGAACAACAAAAATGAGTTCTTACTTCTTGACACATACGATCCTGAATTGCCTCGGGCTCCTTCAAGTTGCCATCTGAAATCTCTTTGTCCTTAATTGTGTAATCTGTTGTTATTGGATGGTAAACGGAAGCAGATCCCCTCTGTATTTCTGCCGCAACACTTGGCAGACTCTGACTGGGCTCCTCGGAGTACACGTGGGCTTCTGTGGAAGACGCAGACTCCACTCGCAATGATGTCGCATGTTGGTTGGCCGGTGTTTGGCTGTCAGTCTCGCAGGGTGATGAGTTCTTCTCAGCAGCAGCAGCAGCACGACGTCTGACTTGGTGGTGAGCCTCAGCGGGATCATGTTCCTCTTTTGCCACATCATCATCTAGGACACAAAAGATAAAGGAAATTAAATGTGTATGCTGCGCTACTTTTGACTTTGTGGTTTGATACAGTCACTGACACTTCGCTGAGGAGTAAGAATTGTGTCCAAAATTGTTTCCGTCTCACCAGAATTATAATACTTTGGGATTTTTCATGAAAGGTCTCGTTTTTAAATGTCATTTCACTTTTGTTGTTGAGTTTCAGTTCGTCTTAATTAGCTTTTAGAGCATGCATTGTGTGTGTGTGTGTGTGTGTGTGTGTGTGTGTGTGTGTGTTTTTTTAAATGCTGCTTTTTAGTTGGTTTTTTTTTTGAAATATGGAGTACTTGTAAAAACAGAATATTTTTTTAAAACAGGGATTGGTGGCCACCACTGCTTGAAATATCGCAATGTTGAAACATGAAGTTGATGCATATCATTTGTTTTGGGGGCCATAAAGAATGATGTCGTGGGCCACATCTGGCCCCCGGGCCTCTAGTTTGACACCGGTGGAATAGGTGAATACGTACCACCTGGCAATCTTTCTTAATCCAAATGTATAGTACGTAATCGGGATTTTCCCCATTAAGTGGAGAAATGCACTTCTGTGTGCTTATTTCCAGGTCAAAAGCAGATACAGATGCACTATAACAAGTATTTTGTTTGTCCCCTCTACAGTTTTCACGCAGACTTTCTTGTGTATGCGAATGCGTCCATTCATCCAAAAGAACGTTTGTGAGATCAGCTGCATGAGACTTGAGAGAAGGCCTAGCTCTCAATTTATGTTGAAGTTTCTCCCAATGGGTCAGGGCTCCGTTTTAGTCCCCCCGCAATTTCATCCAGGCATTGCTTTATGGACTTTGCTGGAACATAAAGGGTCTTCTCCAAACTGTTCCCACATACAATGCAAATGTGAGTTTTAGATCAACCCTGGGTTATTTCAACTGATGAAATAAATACAGCCCAAAACATTTCTTCATATAGGGAGCATTGCGATAAGGTGCTGGAGTACAAATTTCCTATCAAGCTCAGGTTGCAGGGCTGGGAAAATTAACTTTTTAATTAATTTTATTGCTTCCATGTGCAGCTCTCCATGTTAGAATGGATAAAGTTTCCAAACACTCATCCAGTGTTGCATATATGGCTTTGCAACATTACTTGAGAAAAGACCGCGAGAGAGCTGAGGCTCTGTGTCATGGACTAGCCAAGACACGCACGCAGTTTGCTTGGTGGTTTTGTACAGAATCTTACGTTGTTAAATTGTTAATTCAGCGATGATCGTGTCTGGATATGTTTTGGCAAAACATGTCACGCCCTCTTCAAAGATTAACTATTTTAATATTTCTGTTGGGGTGGATGCAAGTTCATGCAGTGGGGGGCGAGGGGGCGTGCCGGGGGGGAAAAATAGGCTGGCTATGAAGCGGGTCAAGGTTGTTTTAATTTATGTAATTTTCTATAAACGAACCGGGAGTTAGATTATTGTGAGAAAATAAAGACTTCCCTTCCAAGCCACATCTCCATGCAACCCTTGGTAATATTACCCCTACAGTCACGCTAATCGTGACCATGACGTAAGTGGTTCGCGTACCTGTTGAAGTCGCACACGCTTGCGGTTCTAGCTCGGATTGCGTCACCGCCTCGTCGCTCTCCGCGAGGCTGCTCTTTCTGTCCGTCTCGCTTCCTGCGGTGGTCTTCTTTTTCCTCCTCCTCCTTCCCCTCACGGTTCGGTAGATGACAAAACCCGCCAGCACGGACACCACGGCGAACACGGCCAGAGCGACGGCCGGACCGTGTCGCCCGATCATGCAGAAGAGGGACGCCAGATCCGCGCGTCTCTCCACGGCCACGCCGTTGCTGCCTTTAAATGCCATCGTGCTCGAAAGGTCGTTGGGACGGGACGTGACGTGACGTGATCTGTCCGCGCGTGGGCAAGCGAACCTGGAGCTGGTCAGATGAGATTGCTGTGGGCTGCGCACGACGGAGCGCGTACGTGGGCACCTCTTGTGGTTGCGGACCGCTGCAGGTGCGGCTCATTGGCTGATGGCGTCACGAGGGACCGCGCCACTCATTCATAAAAATAGTTCAAGGTTCACGTTCTCATTCGTGTTGAACTCTTGTCACATTTCAGAGGATCGATTATTTCATCGTGCACGCGTTGTTTTGGTTGTCGTCATTCTGCCGGTTTCTTAACTTGGATTTTTATACAACAAAAAAAATCATAAACAGGCGCATCATCTACATAAATGGGTCATCACAGAATTGCTGCACAGACACAGAAACACGCACTCGTTATCAGCCGGAGCGAAATGTAGCAACGTGATTAACAAATATTTACAATACCAAATAGCTTTTGGGCACTACTAAAAAAAATGGATGAAATGTATTCTGCAAGTGAATAAAAAAAATAAAAAAATCGTCGGACCTTTAAAAAAATCAATTTGTTCGGAGTCGACCCATTCATTTCCACGTCCGTCTGTAAAGAGTAATGCTGCTATCTAGTGGACAGTCACGGTAGTGTAAGAAAATAACTGCTCTCGTTACCCAAATTACAATAACAATACAATAACCTTGTAACCTTGTAATAACAATAACCTACAATAATCCTCCTGCAACACTCAGTAGCAAAACGACAGAAATCTGAGAGGACACGTGTCAGGCAAGCACACACACAATAATTCTTGTCGTTTTCATCAATTACATCAATTCATCAATTACATCACTACATTTTCGAAAATCATTTTCCACCACCTCACTGTCTGATGGATTAGGTGCCCCTAAAATTAAAATAGTCAACCACAGTGAGGCAACGTTAATAACCTTGATTTGTATTTTTCTTTTCTTTCTCTTGGTGTTTAATGTCAGCCCTTACGGTCTGGATCCTGTCTGGCTGTCAGTGCTTTCCTTTGCCAACGAAAGATTGATTGCTTTATAAACATTGTAGAACTGGGCAATGGGGGAGAGAACACATTCGTGCATGTTTTTTTTTTTTTGGCTTTATGGGTTTCGTCTTTTCGTGAAAATGTTGACATAACACAGACTGACGCTTCAAAAAAGATTTTCAAAGCAAAAAAAATAAATAAAAAAAGCATTTCAAGGATCAAGAATTGGAGAATAGTTGAAATACTCAAGTGTAAGTGAGTAAGGGGGTCCATCCTCAGCCCTCCCGTTTTTCTGCTTGCTGATACGATGGAGAGTACGGATTTTGTGAACATGACAACTTGGGGCGGAGCGAGGATTGTCTGCATTTTGACTCCGATTCTAAACAAGCAACTGCGAAAGCGAAGGACACGTGAGCAACAACAACACAGCATTTAAGATACGGTACAGAATTACACTTTGGCAAGAATGTACTGCAGTTACTGTGGGGACCGTTAGAGACGGCCCAAGGTCTTAAGTGAAGTAAGCACGTGTAACCACAAGAGGGCGCCCAAGAGCAATTAACAGTTGCCAGAGTCAGGTGGATTGTAGCAGAAACAGAGCAGAGAATCATAAAATCTGAAGGTAATCTGACACAGCATATCTAAGTTTAACACTTTTGTTGTTCTCACCCTCTAAAGTATGTATGCACATTGCTGTTGAAAAATCAAGATGGCACTGAGAGCACATTTATTCATTCATCCATTTTCAATACCGCTTTTCCTGGACTGGGTCACGAGGTTCCTGGAGCCTGTCGCATCTGAATTCGGGTGGAATGCGGACTATCCCCTGAACTGGTCGCCAGTCAATCGCAGGGCACACATAGAGACAAACAACCATTCACACCCACATTCACACCATCACTGAGTGGAAACCGGTCCCACGTTGCCCGCACGCAGGTTTACCACTACACAACCAGCGAGTAGATCACATTTGTGGTGTTTTTATTTTTCTTAATTTTTAAAATGCCCAGAATGATATTGACTTTGGTAATCCCACTTGATGCTTCATTTGGAATCTTGCATAAATCAGATCCAGTTGATTGTTGAGATGGGAAATCATACAAGGGAAGAATAAGATTAACTTGGTTGCTGGATTTCACAGTTGATGGGTGAGCAGAGACCCATTTGTTTGATTTTGAAAAGTCGGTTTTCCCGGACTGGTGGTCCAGTGGTTAGCGCGTGGACCTCACAGTGCAGAGGTACCGGGTTCAATTCCAGCTCCGACCTCCTTGTGTGCAGTTTGCATGTTCTCCCTGGGCCCACGTGGGTTTTCTCCGGGTACTGCGGTTTCCTCCCGCATTCCAAAAACATTGAGCACTCAAAATTGTCCCTTGGTGTGAGTGTGAGCACGGATGGTTGTTTGTCTCTGTGTGCCCTGCGATGGGCTGGCAACCGGTTCAGGGTGTCCCCTGCCTACTGCCCGAAAATGGCTGCGATGGGTTTTCCATAATATATCCCCTTTAAATAACCATGTGACTCTAGCGAGCGGTACAGAGAATGAATGAATGGATGAAAATCTTGGAATCAGTGTCATCTTTTCCCGTCCTCGCTTCCATCAAGTCAAATCTTCCCACAATCAGGCAGGATGTCGCCATGTTCCACCCTGCATCCTTCACTTCCATCTGGGCCACTCCTGAGATGCTGAGTTTTGTCGTGTCACCGTTGACATAATGTTCTGTTTACTGACTCATTTAATGTCCTATTTCTTTTCAGCCTGCCTATGTTTTGCTGAAAGCTTCACTTCCTTCCCTCACATTTAACCCTCACAGGACGCAGTGAGCGAGGATTAATCAACAAGGTGCATCAGAGGCATCTTTTATTGCCATCACAAAACCTCAGGATGCAGTCTTCGCGTGTTTACATGTGTGTGATGTCTGGCTCCTTTCATTTTAATAGTGTTACAGCGACCATGTCGACATGGTGCCACGCAGCTTCCATGTAAAACGGTCCTCGTCGTAAAACATGGGCTTCTGAGTCATCACACGAAACCACAGTGCTCCTCTTTGAAGACTCGAATGCAGACAACTTCATTCGAAATGAGTCAATTCCTCTCTGTCTTGCTCTCATGATTCATTTCCAAAGTTGGACCGGGATGTTGGATGTGTGCCGAAATGCTCAACTTGACATTGGTTCCCGAAGTGGGGTACACACATACCCGTTTTTAACACCCTCATCCTTTTTTTTTAGAATTTGAGATGACAGACAGAGCACAACGCACACATGATGATATGTCAATCGAGTTTCCCCTCCCCCAAACCAGATGTCTGTCACTAACACTGAAGTTAATGATCTGTTAGAGACCTCAGGGGAATTACTCAAGCCTGATTATTGTGTAGTTTTAATGCAACACAGTTTTTACTTTTCTCAAGAAGAAATATGATGTATACTGTCACATTGAGCAACATACAGCTTGCTAATTTTATTTTTCACCGATCTTTTAATGGCTTCTTGCCTGAGATGAGCATTCACAGTGATATTCCCCCTGCCGCTGAGTCGGTCGGTTTAAGTCAGGTGAGTGGACACCATCAGTAGCCGAAGCACATTTTTTTCAGATTGCAAATACACCGTTTGCGTGATGTTTCCTTACAGTCACAGTAAATCACATCACGATTCCAACACTATAAAACCAACATGCATGTGGGAGAGTTGTTGAGAAAAGGTAAAACCTGACAAACCATGTGGGAATCACTAAGCGCTGGAACTGAGTCGCAACCAGCTGTTTTTGTGTCTGTGCTGACTTCTACTTTGTAGGCATTTTATATCCAGATGCTCCTTTGACTTTGACGTTGACTATTTGTCTTCTGGTTCAGTGGAGAATTATTATTTTCATTCTTTAGTTCTTCGGGGGGGTGGGGGGGGGGTCTGCTGTCACATTGACACTAACGCTGAAAGTTCTAACCATACTTCTGTTGATTAAAATAATTAGGCAAACTGTTCGATGCTCGAGCAGCAATGCTATTGTTTCTGTTGTTGTTTTGAGAATCCGGACGTTCAACGTAGCTGAGGTCAGAGGTCAGAATGCAAGGTTCATGTTCCTTGTCAGCATTGTACTTGCAGTGCTTCCCTATTGCAGCAGGTACATGACAAATCTCCCTCTGTTTCTTACTGTGGGCATCTGTTTTACAGCATAAGGTCAATTACTTTTATAAATCATGCACACAAAGAATGGCTTCTGTCGCACGTGTACACCCGTGCGCGCGCGCGCACACACACACACACACACACACACACACACACACACACACACACACACACACACACACACATTTCCTGCGCGACTTCGAGAGTCTCTGCTATTTGAACAGATGTGGGCAGACTGAGCATGCCGATATCCCCCCCTGACCCGAGCCTGCACTTCCTGCTCCGAAAGTTAACACCCAGAGAGAACAATCACAGTCTGTGCCCTCAAAGCATGCATATATCGCCACAGTCAATCAGTGCAGTGAAAGTCGTGCACTTTAAGGTCAGCATGCGAGCAGTAAATAGAAAAAGAACCTATAAGAAAGGGCTGTACAAGTTTAGTGGCCTGCAAGGAATATTAAAAAAAAAAAAAAAAAAAATCACTGTGTATGTATACTGCTCCAAAAAATAAAGGGAACACTGAAACAACACAATGTAACTCCAAGTGCCCCCTGTATTGTCTGGAGCAGTTCTTATATTTGGAAGTAGTCGTCATTATGAGAACAGGCAAAAATCAAAATTTAAAAGTTGCAATGGTGCCTTTGGTGGTGGTGGTTTTGTCGTACTTGACTCGCAGTGGTCCCTTTGGTGAAAGTTACTCTATCTATCTAGCTAGCTAGCTAGTTAGCTAACTAGCTAGCTAGCCGGCTAGCAATCTAGCTAGCTAGCTATATATATATATATATAACAATTTATTTCTAACTTGTTATGAAATTTATTGTAAATAAGTAATTTAGTTCTTGGAAACAAGGAATAACACAGCACAACACGATGGGCCTGTGTTATTGTTTCCCCTTCCCGGGGGGTTTCAGGGCCGACCTGTTATATGATCCAGTTCGCAGCTTGGAAACACATTTTGAATGAATGTCACGAAAGTCACTAACAAGCAGTGCAGAACTCAGGTTCTCCACGTGTCTGTGTGTTTAAAGAAGCGTGACCCAT